TATTTATCTTCCTAAAAATAAATTCATCTTAATTTAGAAAAATTCTGTATGTAACAGAATGGGTAAATTCTCCACTGATTAATAATACAAATGGACCAATCTGAATTAGTGATGTGAGAAAAAACTTTTTATATGCAACCTTGCTTTAAAATATTCAGGAACACATAATCACTCAGAGTAAAAGAAGAAGAAGCAATTAGAAAGTAAGAGGGACTTTTTATAATTAACAAATTAATTCCGTAAATGTCTCTTAAAGGAAGGCTAAAGGTAACCAAACAGTCTTGCTCATAAGCATTGTCAGTATAACCTCCAAATCTCATTTAACCTTTATTAATAAAAGCCTTGTTCAAAATGTGTATCAGCACCAAACCTCCTATCACCATATTTCAGTGCATTCAAAATTCCTAACCACCTTAGCATTAGCAGTATTCAACACTGTAACTGTGCACTGTATTGCTTCACACTTTAAAAAAATATTCCTTCCCCTGTCTTCTAAGAAGATGCTCTCCAAGGATATTATAGACTTCAGATGTGCCTTCTTTCTCCTGCCTCCTTCAGCACCAGTGAAATCATTTTGTAAAATCCATTTTGTAAAATGGGATCGAAGAGCCTTAGCAGTTTATCAATCAGTCACACAGATAAAATTTGCCTTTGAATCTTATGCAAATACCATCCACAAACACAAAATGTTTTTTCCACCTTTTTAGTTGACTAAGAGAAATATACAAATACATTGCCTCTGACACTTCACTTTAAAGGCCCTCTTGAAGCAAGAGGAAAAAACCATAGAAAATAAAGTTGAGGTACAAGATTTTCGAGCAGTGTCATTCCTCCTGGCTTTGATGTTTTGAGATGGTGACTGAGTTCCCCAAATTGCTAACGAGGCTATCGCCCTTACAACCCAAGTGCTACGCCTTATCCCCACATGGCTGTTAAGTATGTTAAGGGAAGTGAAACTTCTAGGGTCAGCAGCAGGATGGTGTTGACAAGGAAAGCCACATGCATGGTGCAATGTGGGTTACTTTTCAAACTGGCTCCAAACTTTAAAAAGCCCACAAACACACATTAGAGTTGCCTTCCTTCCACCACTCAAAACAATCCCACTACTGGGCATATACCCTGAGAAAATCATAATTCAAAAAGAGTCATGTACCAAAATGTTCAATGCAGCTCTATTTACAATAGCCAGGACATGGAAACAACCTAAGTGTCCATATCCGATGAATGGATAAAGAAGATGTGGCACATATGTACAATGGAATATTACTCAGCCATAAAAAGAAACGAAATTGAGTTACTTGTAGTGAGGTGGATGGACCTAGAGTCTGTCACACAGAGTGAAGTAAGTCAGAAAGACAAAGACAAATACCATATGCTAACACATATATATGGAATATAAGGGGAAAAAAAACGGTCATGAAGAACCTAGGGGTAAGACGGGAATTAAGATGCAGACCTACTAGAGAATGGACTTGAGGACACGGGGAGGGGGAAGGGTAAGCTGGGACGAAGTGAGAGAGTGGCATGGACATATATACACTACCAAATGTAAAACAGATAGCTAGTGGGAAGCAGCCGCATAGCACAGGGAGATCAGCTCGGTGCTTTGTGACCGCCTGGAGGGGTGGGATAGGGAGGGTGGGAGGGAGGGAGACGCAAGAGGGAGGAGATATGGGGACATATGTATACGTAGAGCTGATTCACTTTGTTATAAAGCAGAAACTAACACACCGTTGTAAAGCAATTATACTCCAATAAAGATGTGAAAAAAAACAAAAAAATCCCAGTTCACCCCGAACCTCACTCTGCCCAGTTCCCGTGCTTGGAATACATGCTATTTCAATATTTACCTCAGGCAAACAACGTTAGCAAGGCAAATTTTTCTCACATTACTTCTCGGCCAAGTACAGAACTCTGAGGTGGTCTGCTCTGCCTGCCATTTTTCCACATGCAGGCAGAGCAGAGTAAATTATATACATGTATGTAAAGATAAAATGAGTAGATCTGGTTCAAAGTTGCATTCCTCCCTTCTTTCCCTCCGTCTTTCATTGATTCATACACATGTACATACATATATAATCCACCTAGTTCCAGAAAGCACTGAAAGCAGCCAGAAGGCAAATATAAAAATTACAGCAATGTTTTCATTTATAGAATGAAGTGTATATACCAAGGATCTACGAGTAGTCAAAGAGCAGAAAGCAGGAGGCAGCAGAAACCATGAGGGAAAGCTACGAGTAGTCAAAGAGCAGAAAGCAGGAGGCAGCAGAAACCATGAGTGAAAGAGAAGAGTCAAGATATTAGAGACTAGAGAGAAGAAATGGATAAAAAAGAGAGAGGGGGTTGAGGGAGGGAGGGACGAAGGGAGGGAGAGAAAGAGAGAGACGGAAATAGTGAGTGAGTGGGTGAAGTTGAGTCTACAGCCTGGTAAACGTCCACCATCACTAAAGACTCAAATTTTGCACAGTGACGAGCTCCTTCTGTTTCCTGCCTGGGGTGGTGTTCCAGTTCTCCCAAAGGCTAAGATGTTTTTCTCCTCTTACATTCCTTCTCTTGTAACTTTACAATGGATTTTTGCTACCTGAAATAACCAAGCATGCCTCTGTTCTCTGCACCAGAAGAGATCCTGAAACAATGTAAATGGTAGCAGAATCCATGGAATTAACAACAGTGTGTGCTGTACAGCACAGGGAACTCTACTCAGTGCTCTGTAATGACCTATATGGGAATAGAATCTAAAAAAGAGTGGATATAAGTATATGTATAACTGATTCACTTCGCTGTACACCTGAAACTGACACAACACTTTAAATCAACTATACCCCAATAAAAATTAAGTAAAAAACAAAACAAAACAGGGTGAAGGGAATGTGTGTACAGTGCTAAGTGAAGAGGGCTGAGATGGAAAGGTGTTTAAGAACAGATGAAGGAAAAGATGCCTGCAAAGGAGATCAAGATGCACTGCCTCGGGAGGTAGGCGGAGAAATAAAGGAGTTCGGGGGAGAAGAGGTGGTCAGGGAGAAACAGAGCTGGATTCAAACAGGGCCACAGAGCTTAAATGCAATAGGGACTCGTCTTCCTGAATTGGTAATGAGGTCGTCTGTAACCCTGGAAAAAGGAGATTCAAGAGAGTGACGGGGTGAAAGCCAGCTGGCAGAGGGCTGAGGAGTGAATAGGGATGAGTAAGCGAAGTAGCTCTGAGCGTAAACTACCTTTAGGCAAAAGGTGTAGCTATAAACGCCGGAAGAGGTGGCTTTCAGGAGAGGTTTCATCAAGGAAAGGTTTTGATATGAGCAGATAATTAAGTGTGTAGAGAAGAAGCTGAAGCTAGAGGAGAGCGAGGCGACACTATTTGGAGTGGACCCTGAGGAAGCATGATTGCATGGGATTTGGATAGGAAGACACATACCTTTACCTCTGAAATGGGGCCTGTGCTGCTTATTCGAATCTCATTTGTGACAGATCTTTTATCGCAGGACAATTTGACCCAGTACTTTCAAATGGAACTATCTGTAACAAAGGAATATTTCAAGCTTTAAATTAGCTTGTTTTAAGCTTATGAAGTACTATGTATAAACAATACGGCTGTCTATAATTTGCCAATTATTGTTACTTGTTCTGGATCATAAGCCCATTTCATAAGAGCACTGATGGGGCTGGGTTTCTGGAAGTGATAAATCTTGTAGTTGTGGCTGGCCAATGATTCACCCAGGAAGTTTGAGAGACCAGGATGTTGTTACCTCCAGATCTTGAAGCTTTCAGGCTTCCATCCTATCAGGCAGGCACATCTGCTTCTCCAAATGAAGGAAACAAAACAAGAATAGAAGTGACAGTTGGCAAAGCCACAAGGTCAATCTTTGCCCTCTCCTTCCTGGTTTCCTGTACTGATCTGGGACTATCTACGTGAGCTGCCTTGGAGCAATTCTGCACTCTGAGAAAAAAACTAAAATAGGAACGATGAATAGTGTTTTCCTCTTTCAGCATCTCTGAAATGCCATTTGATTCATTTACTCATCCCGCAAATTTTAACTGACTTCCTACTATGTGCTGGAATTAGTTCTAGGTGCTGGAAAAGCATGGTGGTCATAAAACAAATTTCCTATGTAGTATACATGTCCATGGGTCTTGCATGAGGGCTGATTATTAATAAGGATTCTTGTATGGCACAGGGAACTATACTCAATATCCTGCAATAACCTATCATGGAAAAGCATCTGAAAAAGGAGCTAGATAGATAGATAGATAGATCTCAATCACTTTGTTGTACACTTGAAACTAACATGACATTGTAAATTAGCTAGACTTCAAAAAAATAAGTAGGAAAAAAGTGGTGCTTCTGGAGAAGAAACAAAAGGATTCTTATGGTTTATCTAAACGGATGCATCTGTAAATCTCACTAAGCATATTACATTACTGTTTACAAACGATGAGGTTGCTGTTTATTTTTCAGCATGAAAGATGCACACGTTGTACTTTTCATTTATGAGGTACAGCTCAGGGTAGACAAACTCTTAGGATAAATACTCCATTCTGAAACCCACAAAAGATAATGAATTCCAAAGCTTACATGTGTACAAACTGTCAGCATGGCCCATTTGGCCCACGGTTCCATATGTGCCAGAAGATCCAGGTGATACGTTAGAGAGGGCAAGTTTATTTTCTTACCGTCTAAAACAGCATTCTTACCCTTCCTCCAACACTAACTTCCGGACTTGCCTTAACGATCACATTTGGACTCACCTTCCATTAATTTGTTTAAAATTGTTCTAAAATTCCTAAGTTAAAACATGTTAGACTATATCACTTCTTAAGATACAGGATTGAAAAAGAACAAAGACGCTTTCAATTTATGACTCCCATAAGGTTAGCTCTTATTCTAACATCATGTTTCCTGATACTGCTGTCGTCAAGCTGAAAGGGTACAGTATTACCTATTCTGTTAAGTTCTATGGTATCATGTCCACCTCCGGAGCCCCATAGGCTATAAAAGTACCTGACAGGAGCCCGAGGAAGAGCCGCCCGGGCCCGGCCGGGCCCCGCCGCCGGACTTAGCCCCGTGTCCCCGCCGCCGCACGGAGACGGCCAGGGCCGAGCGGCGCCACCGGGAGCGGCTGCGCGTGCAGAGCCCGAGCTGCCCGCGCCCGGGCGGCGCGCGCCGTGGACGGCGGCCGAGATGGAGTCTCCGGAGCGGGACGCCCTCCGCGCGCACATGGTCCTCGGCGAGTCTCAGGAGGGCCGAAGCCAGCGGGGCCCCTGGAGCGCCTGGCCGCGGCGCCCTCGCCCACCCCGTCACCCAGCCCCTTGGAAGACCTCGGCCTCCAGACCCGCACCTCCCCGGGACGCTTGTCCCCAGATTTAGCTGCGGAGACGAGGTCCTTGGAAACATCTCCGAGCCCTGGTCTGCCAGAGGAGCATGGAGAGGTGGCCATGGCAGGCCTTGTCCGGGCGCCGTGGGCCCCGAGGGGCTGGCCCTGCGCAGCAGCCGCCGCGCCGGGCGGCCGGGGCGCAGGGGCCTGGGCCCCGGGCCCTCCTAGAGGGTCGGGCTGCCTCCCCGGACTTGGGGTGGGAGCCCTGCCACCTCCAACACCACCCTTGCCTCGAGTCCTTTAACCGGCCGTTAGCATTTTAAAGAGGTCCCCTCAGGAGTTCTGGCCGCTGACTGCCCCCTCCCCAGCCGGGACCTCCTGGCGAGACTGTAACTAGTGATGTTTGTACAACTGAAGGCTCTGTTTTGTGGTTTAAGGAGAATAACATTGACTACGTTTAAAAAAAAAAATGACAAAGGAGGAAAGGGTTTAATAAATATTTGTGGAATGAAATAATTTACTAAACAATTAATTGTCACCCTTTTAAAATCTGTAGCCTTGAAACTTCCCATCTCTCTCCTTTCACTTTTTTTACTGAATAGAGAATCCTAATATTTTCATGGATTCTTACCATAAAGACTTAGGTGGTATAACTGAGGTGACCATATGTCCCAGTTTGCTTAGGGCTGTTCCAGTTGATGTCCAATATCCCAGGGTCATTACTGCTAGTGACCCTTTCCCTTTCCTAAGTGTCCTGGTTTGAATGAAACTGTATCCACTATTCCCCTGGGCTCCCTTGAGCCACTCTGTAATACTCTACATGTGGATTTCAGGAGCAGGTGAAACCTTTCGTGTACATTGCAGTTGTTTCTGTTTGTTTTCTTTCTCAGTCCCCTTCCTGATGATAAAGTGTTTCTATGTGTCTTCAGACTATTCAGTAGCGATTGTCTAGGAAAAGTCTAAGCCAGCACTTTTCAAATTTTAAAGTGCAACGTATCCCCCGGGGCTGTTCTGAAAAATTGGGTTCTATTCAGGAAGTCTGGGATGGGAACAGAAATTTTGCATTTTTAACTGGCTCCCAGGTGATACTGATACTGTTGGTCTGATTGGCCACACATTGAGTGGTGAGGGTCTGCAAGTATTCCTAATGAACCACAACGTAGAGACCAGCCATTATGATACAGTGTCACTTAGTGCTTATGAGCATGCACTTTGGATGCCACAGCACTGAAGTCAAATCCTGCCTCTGTCACTTACTACCTGTGTGATCTTGATCTCTCTAAGCCTCAGTTTTCTTATATGTAAGATAGAAAGAATAATGTCTATCTCAGGGGAATGGTGTGAGGATGAAATGAGATAATAAATGTAAAACAATCCTGTCCTCACCCATTGTAAATGTTACAAAATGACGGTAGTTGAAACTGTTGTCATCATAATCATCAGAGTGAGGTTTGCCTTCTTCCCCCTTCCACTCTATCCAGCACTCCCCTGCCATTTCCTCCATTTTATTCAAAGCTTAACAATAGAAGGTACTCGTTAAGATAAACATCAGAGGATAATGAGTAGTCATACTGTGAATGGTTCCTTAAAAATGGACCTTTGGGTATGCTAAATTATCAAGTTGTCAGTACAGGCAGGAGTTGCAATCAGAGTTTGGACAGATCCACAGGAAAGCAGGAGCAAAAACATTTAGCTGAAAATTGGTGATAAACTCCAGTTCATGGGGGTTCTGTTGGCACTGGGTAGATTCCCCTCGTTTGCATGTGTCAACAGTGGCAGCCATGAGCAATCTGACTGTAGTACTATTCTAAAACCCAGTATTACCAGCAGAAGAAACAGTGAATATTAGAAAAATAGAGAGGTTGAACAAACAGACTCTTCAAACTAGGTCTTGGTTTAAACTTTGTCTCCTCTTTTTCCTAATTGTGTATCAGGAGGCAAAATTCCAAGTATTTCAGTTTCACTTTCTTTCCTTTAGCCTTTCAAAAGTCACAGAACCGGAACCTTTGTTTTAACTATCATAAAGTGATAGGATTGAAACAGCATTTCGTAAACAATAAGTTGCTGTTTAAATCGATGGGGATCACAATCATTGTTGTCGTCACATCAAAATCATTATCCCCTTCCTCATCTTTAAGGTCGTCTCCAGCTATAAACATTTCCCTTTCCTCTGATGCCAGTCCTAATGTAGGACCAATGCTCTCTCTTTGGGTAAAGTCAACAATGGAAGGGGAAAAGTGAGATCAGAAACTTGGATAATCCTCTCACTAGAAAATTCATCTCTGACTATTTGGTCAGGTAAAACTGGATGTTGAGTTTGAAGTCACAATGTGCTGTATTTTTACCTCCTGCAATTCAAAGCTCACTGGAGACTATACTTTTCTATCGATGCATTCATTGACTTATTTAACACCTGACGAGCACAGTACCTATGGCATGAACAACATAAGAAAAGGGCTCTCCCGCTGAGCGCTCACAGAACTACCTGGGCATGTTTCCTGAGGCCCGTCACTATCTACAGGCTAATCATATGCTCCATCCTGAGATAGAGGAGCACCTTGGCACCTTGAGGACAGGTGTATTCATTTTCAAAGGAAATCTACAAGAGAAAATATGCTTGTAATAAAGATTGGCCCAACTATCAGAATGACTGAAAAAGGGAACATGTTTATTAAGATAAGTAGAGTTAACATATTTTTTCCCACCAGGGTTTCACTTGGCACTGACAGATCTTATTTGGTGCATAAATCTCAAAAATTCCTTAAGAAGGTCTCCACGTAGACAGAGAGAAATCTCCGGCACATTTCCATTATCTTATTGGAGGGATGGCTGTTTCCTAAAGAATGGGCAGCAAGGACATGGGCAGCATCAAACTTTACGTGTTCACTCAAGTGTTCCTCTCAACAAATTAGTCCTACAGGCACACGGCTGTTCATCCTCTAAACTAGCAGCTGGCAAACCATGACCCATCAACCAAATCCAGCCCACTGCTTGTTATTGTAAATAAAGTATTATTGGAACCAGACATACACATTCATTTATGTATTTTCTAGGGTTGTTTTCGTGCTAAAAGGGCAAGAGTTGTAACAGAGGCCATAAGCCCAGAAAAACCTAAAATATTTACTATCTGGCCCTAACTAATTAAAATATTATGTACTTTACAAAAAAAAAAAATTAAACTTGCCCTGACAAATAACTGATTTAATTTGAAGAGTTCATAAACGACTTTAATAATTTAAAATAATTATAATCCTTAAGAGAGGCATTAAAAGCTAGTACAAAGAAGTTTTTGCTAAAGTTTTCTCTACCGATATCCCTTTGGTATACAGTTAATCACTAACAAATGAATCAAATATTATTTATGAGAAAGACAATGCCTAGTTTTACATATTGGAATTCAAGTGGGAAAAGACAGGTAGTAACACAGATATTCAATATCTTTGATTTCTGCAAGTATATCATAAAGTAAATACTAGGACTTGAGGTTATGCTCATATCCTAAGTATCTACCTAATAATTTGGAATAGACGAATTCATCCAAAAGACTCCTCTGTAACATAGAAATGCCCCCTGTATCATCTTAATTTAGATTTAATGTACCTCATTTTATATATATATATATAACAAAGTTCTTGATTTGAATTTATACAACTGTTTGTAGCATGTACTGCTACGTGTAAATTTATGACTTGTGCTAAGTATCCTTTTTCCCCCAAAATGTCTTAAGTCCAAATACTTGGAATGTCTCTCTTATATACTCACTAGCTATAAGGTAATCACAGAAATTTTCATAAATATATGTTCTTGCATACCAGAAAAAATAAAATATAAAGCATATAATTTTAAATTTTAAATGTATTAAAATATAATTTACAACATGAAAAAGCAGCATAAATGTGGCTCCGGACACGCAGGCTCAGCGGCCATGGCTCACGGGCCCAGCCCCTCCACGGCATGTGGGATCTTCCCAGACCGGGGCACGAACCCATGTCCCCTGCATCGGCAGGCGGACTCTCAACCACTGCGCCACCAGGGAAGCCCCTCAATATATATTTTTAAACAGTGCAAACGTATAATTACTTAAGGACCTAGAGCCAATAAGGAAAAATTGTATTTAAACGGAGAAAAGAGTTATCTTTGTGTCCTGCTTTTAATTTTAAGACATGAATACTTACATCTGATAAAACAAAAAGGGAAACGAGACCATCTGCCATAAGTAATTGCAACTTACATCCAAGCTACTTTTGAAATGTCCCTTCTCTCTCCTTCCAAAGGCTCTCAAGTATCTACTATAGCTTTATTTTCACAATATCTAGATGCGTCATAAAAATCAGATGGGAAATTCAACAAAAGTATATTTTTCTAGGTAAATCAGAAAGTATTTTAATATCTATATTTATTACCACTTTTACTACCTCTTTCCAATATGTACAACTAGACATTATTTTTCTTACTACAAATACTTTCTGATTAATGAATCAGTGATTAATTATACACTACATATATAAGTGGGTAGTGATAAAGAATTTTATTTTTTTAAATGTCCATGTTTAGAGTATTAATCTCATGTACCTCATTTCATGTGCATCTTAAATAATAGTTAGGAAATTATTAATAACTTAATTAGAGCAATGATTTACAATTCTAATTGTATTGAAAAGCTAAGGAAAGACTTTGGAAATTCAAAAGCCAAGACAGCTCATGTTGCTTTATTCCTTTCTTCCTTATCAGGTGCAAAAAAATCACTCAAGAAATGCTTACCATGTGGAGATACTAAAAAAACTATTCATACAAATTCCTAAACATGAAACTAAAGGTTATAATGTTCTGAATTTTTATATGAATGTTTTCTAACTTTTTTACTTCCATTTACTTTTTATAATTAGAATGCTAAATCTCTGCCCATCAGTATTGACCTTTTAAAGAGCTGTGGTAGCCAATCCTCAATCCCAGGATACTAGAATGTTAGTAGGTGAGAAACCAGCCCAACAAATTCCTGCTTGATAAGTAAAATAAAAAGTGAAATGTAACACAAGAGATCATGTTTTCTCCACTTTGGGGGGAAAAAAACCCCACATCAGTAGCCCTCTCTTGAGTGTATAATAAAGACAGTGTTGAAAAAAAAGAAAGAAAAAGAAAGAATAAAGCGAGAAAGAAAATGGTAGCAACGTTTACCCAGATTTCTAAAACACAAGGGTTAGCATTTGACCAGAGAACTTTAATTTTGA